AAACATCTTTTAAACCTTTAAACCATCTATATCAAATCTGTCTTTATATTTATACTCCTTTAAAGACCACACTTGACAGATCAAAATCTCTTTTCAAAATAACACTTTATGATCTTAAAGATCAAAACAATATCTGTCTTTATATTTATACTCCTTTAAAGACCACACTTGACAGATCAAAATCTCTTTTCAAAATAACACTTTATGATCTTAAAGATCAAAACAATATAAAAACATTACATACCTCCTTAAAAGGTACTAAATTAACTTTTTCCCAAATATTCTGATCAAATTAATATTTGTATAACCTTATCCAAATGTATAATTCACAGATATACCAAGAGTATCTGTATTAAACTTGCATGATTTCTATTAAATCACAACCTTTCTTATAAAAATAAACAATTAAATCAAAATTTATTTTAAAACTTGAACTCATTAGCACTTGAGACTGATTTCACATCTCTTTATAACTTCAAATTTCTCCTTACCCTTCATATTTCTCCTTCTTCTAGTTCATAACCAACAAAAATATGTATGTTTTGTGCATAATAATTCCACCTTTAGTTTCTTCTTGATCATTCTCTGCAAATCTAAACTCTAAATAAAAGATCTGAGATAACCATGACCCACTAATATTCTTAATAGCGTATAAGCAAATAACAAACATAACTGGTTTCTCCTTCTTCATTTCTTCTCTTCTCTTCTTCCTTCCTATTGGTAATGATACCCCAGGTATAAGACGATTTCAGTAGCACTCGAGCTAGCAGGGCTGCTCTCATCATCTTCATGAAATTCATTGATGGATGGCTTCTCTTATTTTTGATGGTATTTCATGAGTAACAAGGCTTTGCTGTTACTTAAGTTGTCACTTGATCTCACATGCACATAATTCTTTATACGGCGTACCAACGTCTTAAACCAACATACTGAGTATCCCATAACGTCTTTCGATTGATCCCATATTTAACTTTTTCTCCAGAACGTTATATTTCTTATTCTTGTGTTGTACTAATACACTATCGTGGCCAAGATATGTATAATCCTAGTACTACCAACACAACCTTCAATAGGTTTAATATAGTATGTTTACTATATCAAAAACAATAATCAACAGTTAACAAACCATTTTTAACTCTTAACTCTATACCATTAATGATTAAAATTCATAATCGTCTGTAGACCTAGAGTTTGGAGTAGCTTCACTAGATCGATACATGATCGATTTCCCTAGTATTTTCAACCTCAAACTTAACATTGAACCTAATGTTTCCAATATGTAAATTGGATATAATACTTTATATTCTAATCACATTGAATCACAATTTAATCTTGAACATAATCACATGTAAACTTAGTTTAGTTATCAACAAACTTTAAATGATTAACACGAGCCTTTCCAGGTCATTTCTTCAACCAATTCATTTCTTCAACTAATGAATTCAATATCATCTATGAACTTCAAATTCCTGAACTTGAACGTTTGCACCAAATTTGCAAGATGTTTCCTTCAGGTATATACTACCCAGATCACATAATCGTAGCATGATATTATTCCATTAAAACCCTCTCTTAAAAGTCTTGTAACACTTGATGTTCTTCCTTTACTTTGGTAAAGTTCAATCATGGTTTCGAATTAAATTTCTGTAATTTGCCATCGAGATTCGACACCGCGAATTAATTCTTCAGAAATTTCCCTATACCACAAATCTTCCTAGAACACAAACTTCTAAATTACCAATAGTTCTAACATTTAAATCATCATTACTAACTTGAATTGTACCACAATATGTGAACCTTCACTAGTTGTCATACAGCATCAAAGTTAATATAATTATCAACTTGATCAACAACCTTATCCATATATGTGATTCTTCTTCTTCCTGTATGTATAATATATCCAAATGCGCAGTTGTAAACAAACAACTATACTTTGAGCTAGTTATAGACATGAAGTCTCTTTGAATCACCATCACATGATTCTGCATCCCGATTCATCCTTTGCATAGATCTGGTTTCCTTGGTGTGTACCAATACTGGAGTGGACCTAATGGTCATTTACTTGAACCATTATTTCATGAATTAATATCAACATCACTCTCAAAAATGTTTAATTCAATACCTAAATCTAGATCCTGTCCATCAGGAGATAACTCACATTAACTTTGCGGATTGTTTAATTGAGTATTCTGTCTAGATTCATTTCCTACTCCTAGGCTCTTTCCAAATATCATTGGTGATGAACCTTCATCAGCTGGATTTTTGGTACCACCTACCTTTAACAGCGTTATATCCTTTCAACAGACCTTGCACCCTATAGCAGCAACTTCTTGGATCGAAGTTTGAGGCGCTACCATGAGAGAAATCGGGGGTTCTTTAGAAGCCATATAATAATATTACCGAATCGAAGTTATAGCTATAGTAGGATATTTCATGAGACATCTAAACCTTGGATCAAGTAGTTCATTGGAGCAATTAAAGATTGTTACTTTGTTAGTACATTTAGTACAACAAATAGGGAATAATATATTAAATGAATGGATATATACTCAAATAATGGATAGTTTTTATATAGTTTTCCAAAGAGTGGCTTAGATCTATTCACGTTCTCACATAAATGACCATAATCTTCCAAATCTGCATGACGTCCTCCTTATAACATTAGTCACAATAATACTATAGCTAAGATCAACATCATAACACCTTTATTTCTCCTCAATATTTCCAGTAACTTCATATCTTAATAGTAAAACCTTTAGTATCCTTGATTATATAATTACCGAGGTTCATCTTTTCTAATTCAGTGTTCATCTTTCTTGACGCTTCACGTGAACTTATATCTCCTTAGACTTCTAAAATAGTCCATCCGTGACGTAAAGGATCTTCTTCATCAAAAACAAATTCATCCACTGTAATATAACAATATCAGATTAGGGATAGTTTCCATGAATTCCTCACACATCAAAATCATCATTTTTTATAAACTGATGATTAAAAAAGCTTTGTAGAACTAATACAACAAAGCTTGAAATATAGTTGCGATCAACTATATCAAGGTTTCAGTACTCTAAAACCCTTATATAACCTTGAAAGTTATATAAAATGGATGAAATATCCATTGGACAATGATTGTAGAAATCATTGTAAATAATATAATCATATTATATTATGCATTCTTGAAATTAAGAATGGGAATATCAATAAACAGAATAAAATTCAAAACTCAGTAACGCCATTTTCCCCCAAACAGTATAAAAATAAACCAAAAAAAAGAACAAGATTAATATAAAACTTGTTCTTTATCCCATCCATAACCATCTCTCCAACCAACCAACCATAAAAAACAATAAACAAAAATCAAAACCTCTAAGTCAAATCAATACCAATCTTCAACATTATTGATTCAAATTCTTTTTCATCCAATAACAGTTTTTCTTCAATTTCACCAATAATTCTCTTCTTAGTAAATGAATGAACAGGTGTAACTTTTGAAGACCAAAGACTTTTTGCACCAATTTCATTGCGAATATTAGCTTTTGAACCAACAACTCTATCCAATGGACCAAATCTATTAATCAGAGCGGTACGAACATCTTCATTATCCCAATAATACAAGATGATATGACCAATATAACACATCATTGTTATGTTTAATTCACGATGACCATTAAAACAATTTGATAATTTAGGAATAACGGATTTCAAATTCAATGAAGTTAAATCACGATCATATCGATCAACACCACGACGACCTCCAAAAGCTGCAGTAATACATAACGATAAAAATTTAAACCCAAACCCTTTTCGATCAGAATTAATCATGGTGGAATTTGATGATAATACATCATTCATACGTTTATAAACACCTTCTTTCTTGGATTCCGCAACTTCTTTTCTCAAGATGGCTCTAGCTTCTTCTAGTGTAAATTTTAAGACCGGGGTTGCAGTATTAGCAGCATCAGCAGTAGAATTAGCATCTAATATTCTAGGTTCACCAATTGAAGTTCTACCCAGTAAATTTGTCAAACGATTCATAGCAACATCAACAACACTTGTACTAATATCTTCAAACGAGTCCAAGGTATTAGTTCTAGTTAACCCACCAGAACTCAATTCAGAGCCAGTTTCATTTTCAGAGCTTGACGTGGTGAATTCATCTTCAGATAAATCAGTTTCTGAAGGAGTAGTTAAGCCAGAGGAATGATAGTATTCTTGTGCCATGTTTAATCCACGTAGTAATTGTATAACTCAATTACTATGTTGTAACCAAATAAAACACAATAGAGAAAGGAGAAAGAGTTGTTGGCAATGAAATGGTGGGAAAGAGGGATCCCTTCTCCTTTTATCTGAAATCAAGGGGCGAGCTTATCATTTTGTTTGTTAAAGTTTGAAAAATAGCCGCTGAATTTTGATCTCCTTTAAATTTAGTTTTCAATTTCTGGTTCTAGATCAAATCAACAAAATCAAAATCAACAAAACTTTATTTGTATGGAGAATTGAGATTCGGTGGTGGAATTACCGTATTGGGTAATTCTAGCAGATAAAATCATGTGATACTGATGGTCGGAAGTATAGATACACAATAAGCGGGAGATAATCTGAGATTTATCAGGTGAATATATCTTTTAAAATGCTTATCTTTGATTTTAAATTGTAATATAGAGCATCATAGTTTGTTCCACAATGGATCTACGTTATTCTGTGATTTTAGAGGGAGAGTACGAGAGTACTCTTTGAAAGAGTCATCATCAGAGTCATCTCAGCGCATTGTGACTAATCTGGAAAGTTTGATTGGGTCCCACAATTGATAATTAAGCGACATCAACGATAAAAAGATAACTCAGCTCAGTCTTATATAAAGGAAAGACAGCCAGTATTACACGTCTAGACAATCAGTATTAGTGACTTTTATATTAATCGTCACATTGGACTATAATTTATTAACCACTATGTACATTCCAAATCAGTTCAAAGTTGATGATGAAGATAAACAACTTCAATTGATTAAAGAATTCCCATTAGCTGCTTTAATATTTGTTGAAAAGAGTTTTTTTGGTACACCAAACTATTCAATATCACATATTCCATTCTTTTTAACCAAAAATTACAATGGTCAAAATGTATTGAAAGCCCATTTAGCTCGTGGAAATGAATTAGTCCCATTATTACAAAATGCAAATCATAATTGTCTTGTAAGTTTCAGAAGTACAGATAGTTATATATCACCATCTTGGTATCCAACAAAAGAGAAAACTCATAAATTTGTACCAACTTGGGATTTTGGTGCTGTTAATGCATATGGTATTCCTCAAATCATTGAAGATAAAGAATGGTTATTACAATTACTTAATGAAATTACAGATCAAGAAGAAGGTAAAAGACCTGAAGGTTCTGAATTTAAACCAAAATGGAAAGTTGATCAAGCTCCAGAAAACTATCTTGATACTATGATTAAGAATATTGTTGGGTTAGAGATTGTTATTGATGAATTAGAAGGGAAATTTAAATTTAATCAAAATAAAGCTCCTATTGATACAAAAGGTGTTATTGATGCTCATATTAATGAAGTTGGTGGATCTAAGGGTGAATATATGGCTAAGTTAACTACTCAAGAATATCCAAAGGAATTGTGAAAACAGCTTCAGGACTTATTTATTTATATGGCTATAGAGGTTTATTTAATATGTATTATATGATTATAACATGTATGTGTACTTCATAACTAGTTGAATGGTCTGTATATAACATTGGAATAACTATAACCTGACACACTTAATACTCTTTGATCTGATGGAGAAATATTATCATTAATATGTGAATAACATTGCAAAGTTGAAAGACAATGTAAACAACGTCCGTCATTATTGAATGTGTAAAAGGGTGCTCTATCAATTGTGGTATTCCCATATTTATTCCAACACTTTTATCCACAATAGTATTTATTTTCAATAATAGAAAGCTTCACAATTTCTTTGATACAAATAATAGCCACTGGACCAAAATTATTTTCATTGTCATGGTTAAGATTCACATGAGATAATGTTGAGCAAGTTGAATCAGTTTCATCACCAGTATCAGTTGAAAACCCAGAATTTGTTTCATCAGTATCATTCGAGCCATCGACGCCCTCTTTGGACACGTAATTCTCTCTCAACTTAATCAATCTATGACCCAAAACTTCTACTTTACCATCTTTTAAAGCCTTTACTTTTATAAAACTATGAATACCCTTCTCATTTGATTCTTTTGAAACCACTTTATAAATTTGATCTTCACCAGTTGTCCATAAATTGATATCATGATGATCATAGGCAGTTCTCCTTGATAAGCTCATCAAATAATCCTTTGTATTCGAGAAATCAGGATCATTACAAGTGTTTTTGAAACTAATGAATACAGCATCTTTCACTGGCTCACTGGTTTGGATTCTTAATGTTTTTCCAGGCGGGACTAAGAATTCAATAGGTTCTTTAATGTCTTTTGGTTGACTCATGATAGTTATATGGTAAGACTGGAATTATCTAATATAAAGTGGAAAGGTGCAAATTCAAAATGATGGGAATAGCTTATTTATATATATAATTGAAAAATATAGGGGTCTTGTCTATACTCTGATCATTCTATATAAAGGAGTTTACCTTTTAAGTTTTAACTTTCACACACTGCAAACCGAAGACAAGGTACAAGCGTCTGGTGTAATTTAATTGTTATGAATTGAATTTCTCCTTTGAAGATGCAATCAATACAGTTGAAAAAATGTTGTTTTGTTGTGGAGTGAAAGTTTCCTTTCTGTGAAACTAGCTGAAGTTCCCTTCAAGCTTTATCAGCTTTATCTAGGATTTTCATTCTAGCTTGACCTAGCACAAATTAGTATTATCTATTATGGCCATCGTGATATTCAAACTCCATAGTCGCCTGGTCGCCTTTATACAATATATGGAACATACTTAACCTTCAATACTGATCCTAATATACTCCATGAAGGTAAGACTAAAAGACACTTCATATGAGTTACAATCCATATTTTTAGTACGGAACATATAAAAAAAGCGTCAAACATGTATCAAGTTATATACACTGGAAACTATGGGATTAAGACCCTAATTGAATGGTCTGTAGATAACATTGGATTCTGTAGTAACTGTACGGTAACTCTCAGAAGTGTCAATTTGCTGTGATTTCAGTTTTTTCCCACAAAATTGACAATTACCGTCTTTTTTATAGTATGTTGTGGTTTCTCCAGATTTGTAATGTCCGTAACGTTGTTCATAGCAACATTTGAATTCACAGTAGTATCCATAACTATTAATTTTAAACGTCTCTGATTTCTTGAGACACATCACAACCAAAGGACCAAAATCTTTATTGTAATCGGTTTTCAAATCCATCTGTGACAAAGTTGAGCAAGTTGAAGCAGTGTCATCACCATCATCAGTATTTGAAGGCATTCCATTCCGTAATTGAATCATTCTATGTTCTAACACCTTCATGTCTCCTTCATTCAAGATTCTAATCTTAGCATAGCTATGAAATCCTCGAGAATCAGCTTCTCTTGATACAACTTTATAAATTTCCCCTGCTTTAGCAAAAAATATATTGACATCAGCAGAAAGTGATGAATTCTTTGTGGATAAAGACTCAGAGTATTGTTTTGCACTTGAAAAATCAGGAACCTCTTCAACTTTTTTGAAATTAACAAATGAAACATTTTCGCTTTCATCAGCAACTTGGATTTTTAATGTCTTCCCTGGTGCGAGAATTATCTCAGCCATGGTTTGATCATTGATGTTTGAATTTTAAGAGCTCATGATTATATAGTGATCTGATTCAATCTGTTACCAGTGTGACAAAAATCTCAGCAGTTAAAGACAACTTTGATTCATATAGGAACCTGAAACTTTTAGAAGAAATTTGCTTCTTATATATAATATTTATATCTGTCAGCCTCGTTGGCTAGTATAACAGCTACGCTACGTTACGTATCCATAACAATATAACAATTGAATCATTATAGAGCTTCACAAGCGGCAACAAATGATCAAATTAACGTTCAAGCTAAAGCTCATTTGGAAGGCTTGTCTAATTAATACTATTATTGATATGTGTCTTGTCCTAAAAAGAATCCAGACAAGCTACGTTTATTGTAAATATAGGGGTAGTATCATGTATGGTAGGTATTTGATTCCTTTCATTTCCGAATTCGCCATACATTGCATTATCGTGCATAGCTTTGATAAGATTATGCAGGTATGAATTGATTGTGAAATCACAAAACAAGGAGCGTACGCCGTATACGGTACTATAACAACGAATAGCTGTGAACGGAACTTAAAAAGCATTAGACGTACAAGGAACAAGAGACAGAAACAAGAAAAATCAGAAGCTATTATACGTTCAAGTGAATTTCAAAGAATGGGACAAGACCTTATAAATGCTTTGAAATTGATCACATATTATGGCTATAACCGCGAATAGGAATTATTTCCGCGTCGACGTTGTGAATATTCATAGCACATGGATAATAATATTAGAGCTCAAAATATCAGTATGATCACATCAATTAATACAAGATCAGGTAGAAGCCACCCTCTTATCCACATTTTATGGATCTGTAAGCTTATTTAATTTATATTGCTATTAATCTGCAATATAACAGTACGGATCAATTTACTCTTTAGTGGTTTGCAGTATTAGATTCATATTAAATGGCTTATTTGATATATCAGGAGATTCAGTTATATATTCAAGCTTATAGCTAGTACACGACATGCTGCATAGACAAACAGCGCATCCTGTCAACAATATACTCTTATATGTATATCATGAGTACATGATGCATGTGATACCTATACTCAGCTCACAACGTTTGGATGTTATCTACATCAAATATATCAAGCTGTAAAATAAAAATTATAATCTTGATTAACTATAGTCCAATAATTCAATATACACATATCGATTATTAAAGGACGGCTCTATTTTTCATTAACGATAATATCCATATATATCACCTATGATTCCGGTCTGAAAATATTAGTTGATTGTTCTTTTCCACAGATCTTTGAGCCATTTTGTGCTGTAATGTATGAAGCTTTTGAACTGAACACCACAACAACAGGACGAAACTTTTTTGAAACATATTTCTCCCTATTATCATAAGCTTTAACATCTTCAAAACCTTCAGTATCACCACTTTCATTCAGAAGCTTATAATCCTCAATACTCCAGTCATTTTTAGAGTAATTATAAGATATTTGGACAAAACTTTTATTTCCGTTTAAATCTTCTTCATTTGAATAGATTGTGTAAGCTACAACTTCTTCATTGCTGAAGTTTCTGTGGTTATTGTCTACTTTTTTTTTTGGAACCTCAATTCTAGTAAGATTTTTCTCGTTCTCCAAGTTTGACATAGATAATAACTGTTTGAACAAAGATGTTGGGGCTTCAACCTCTTCAAAAAAAACATAAGCACCATGCGTGTGGTATGCACTGGCACCGTAAAATAGTTTCACTAATGATCCTCCAGAAACTTTGATATCAAATTTAACTTCGTTGGTCATTTTTGTTGCGATGGAGCTATTTCACTAGTAATCTATAGTTGTGTAGAATTAACTTCTCAAATTTTTCCTCGTGTATTTTTGACAGAAAACCTCCTTCTTAATGAAAAAATTTTGAGAGGTTTAACTAGATTCTCAAATGAAAAAGTTATCCAATTTCCTTTTGTGAAAATTTTAAGTAGTTACAAGCAAATAGGGATCTCGTATATTCCAACCAGCTAAATAGGAACACTGGCTAATGTTGAGTATTTAAGTACCAATTAGATGCAGAACTTTATAACCCAAAATGAGTCAATAACCTATAAATATTGAACTTGAACTTGATGATGGTCGAATACTTCGTTCTGTGGATCATTCGTGCAACTGTTGTAAAGTTTTATTGGTCATTTCTTGAAAACTTTCATTCATTATTACCTTGCTATTAATGTACCATATAACACTTATCAATTTCTTGTAGTGGTTTGCAATAGATTCATATATGGCTTATCTGATACACCAGGAGCTTTGGTTATATATTCGAGCCTATAACTAGTACAACATTTTGAGTGACGGATGCGTAGTATGACTTAATTCACAAAGATAGAATGTTATCAACCTGTTCCATATATATGCTATAATCTTTGTAAACCCCGTAAAATTAAAACTATGAAAATATAATTTACTATAAAACTTTTTGGAGAGCTACGATTGCAGATAATTGAAAATTCTTTATATTTAATTTTTTACCATATACTTATATCCATTTAAATACCTAAGACTCTGGTCTGAAGATAATAGTTGATTGTTCAGTCCCCTCCTTCTTATAATTATTCGGGTTTGAGTATAGAGTTTTTGAAAGAAACATCACAACAACAGGACGAAACTTCCTTGAAACATATTTATCTTTGGTATCACAAGGCTTGACATCTTCAAAGCTTTCGCTTTCTTCACTTTCATTTAAAATCTTATAATCCTCAATCTTCCAGTCACATTCAGAGTAATGATAAGATACTTTGACGAAACTTTTATTTCCGTTTAAATCTTCTTCATTTGAATATATTGTGTAAGAAGTAGCTTCCTCGTACTCACGTTTTATGTAGGAGGGGTATTCTTCTCTGTTTGGAATCTCAATTCTGGTAAGACCTTTCTTTTTCTCCAGCTTAGACATGGATAGTGACTGGTTGTACAAAGATTTTTGAGCTTGAACCTCTTCAAAAAATATATAAGCACCATTTTGGTAGTATTCTTTACCGTGAAAGAGTTTCACTGCTGATCCTTCAGGAGCAGTGATATCAAATTTAAGCTCTTTAATCATTGTTGTTCTGATGGAGTTATTTCACTAATTTTGTGTAGGGACATTTTTCAAACCATTATCTTAGAATTATGACAGGAATCATCTTTATTAAATACTTCAGACTAGTCAATTAGAATCCATGCATCAAAAAGTTGAAATTTCAGAACAAGAATATTGTAAATAGTGAACAAACTTATCCAAACTCTAATCACTATTCATCTCTTGTCTGCCAGTTGGCTTGTTATTGTCTAATTAAAGTTTTACTATACCAACAATATGCCCCCTACAAATCTTTAACAACATCTTGATCAATTGAATTTCACCTATGAAACTATTAAAGATCACGTATTCCATCCAGGTCACCAAAATCAGTATTTGCAATTTTTGAAAATAGCACCAAAGCTAACAAAACATTTATGTCCAATTAAAATGAGGGAACAACCTATACCTATTGAAATTATACTTGATGAAGGTCAAATACTTCGCTCTGAAGATCATTCAAACAATTGTTGTAAAGTTTTGCTGGTTAGTTTTGAAAAAGTTCACTCAAATTTACCTTGTAATAGCTTATCTTCAAAATATAAAAGGGTCAGTCTAACATTAGAAAACCTCAGGGAATCAAATATAAGTCTTGTTAAAGCAAGTGGTTATCAAAGTTATAAAGTTGTCTCTAAGAAAAAAGATAAATATGGTGATTCAAGTTTTGTTGATTTATGTTTTACTAATGATGGAGAGATTGAAGTCAAAAATTATGGTTCAATTGATGTCAGCACCCAAGAGGATATTGATGACGGTTCCAGTACCAGTACAACAGTATCACCAGACAGTTCCGAAATCAGTACACCATCAAGTGGATCTTCTCGATCACAAAGAGCTTCAAGAAGAATGATGCAAAGATCAATCAACTATAACAAAGTTGAACTTAAACCATTAACTTCCTAGTTTGAAAGGTTGAAAAGTGATCATGGTGTTGAATCACATCACTGTTATAACTGTCTTGATGAATTCTCAAGAACTGAGATGATCAAATCAGATTTCCCAACTCATTGTTTTTCATGTGGTGGTATAAAGAAAGCTTTATCAACAGTTACTAGATCAATTCTCATCTGTATTGGTGTTACAATCTTTATGGTGGCTGCTTATTATTCACACCATTGGATTTGGGAAACCATTTTGAATGCAAGGAAGGTTAGATCATATTGTAATACATGGTGTACACCACGTCAGGATCAATTAGCTGTTTTAGAAGGTGACATTAGGCACCCAACGCATCCTTGGATTATCTGAGTGGTTCCATATGGCTTCTTCAAAGATTTGGTTCTGGTTTTTGATTGATCCCAAATTATATGAATTTACTTTTTTGATTTTATATAGTCTGATTATATATACAAGAGCATCCATTATATTGTATATTCCCTTCATTCATTAGCCTTCACCTTCCAGGTTATTGTCAAATTCATCAACAATGGTTCCATTAAATCCATATATCTCAAGAATTCCCATGTTCATATACCCGATCCATGTTAATTTACCCGCTACTATGGCATTTCTTACTCGACGGATTTAAAGGGCGTTCAACTTTCGACATTGTTACCGTGAACCGTAATCCCAAACATCAGATGAACAGATATAAAAGAGCTTCAGATCCTCATTCAAATTACGATGTTGTTTTATACATTCTACACTTCATTGCATACACAATAGTATACAATTATTCAACTGAAAGAAACAATGTCATCCCAAGAAATTATTAATGAACTTAACAAGGTTAAGTTTGGTTTAGGTCTTATGAGTTTTACATGGAGACCAGATCCATATCCGCAATCAGCTTTCAATGAATCAGTTTTGGCAACAATCAAGAAGAACTTACCAAATAAGACTTTTGTCAATGGTGGTGAATTTTATGGTGCTAATGAATTGAATTTGAAATATATCAAGAGTTTTTTGGATACTTATCCTGAACAACGTGAAAATTTAATCATTTCAATTAAAGGTTCCATTAGTTTTGCTGAACAGAGAGTTTTAGGTGATAGAGAAAATATTAATAAAGCAATTGATAATATATCTAAATATATCCCAAACTTGGACATCTTTGAGATTCCAAGAATTGATACTACAGTTACTTTAGAAGAAACTTTTGGTGCTTTAAGTGATGCTGTTGATGCTGGTAAAATCAAGGCATTTTCAGTTTCTGAAGTCAATGCTAATACTTTAGAAAAGATTTCCAAAATTTCAAATAATCCAATTGCAGCTGTGGAAATTGAATACTCAATTTTTTCAAGAGATATCTTAGAAAATGGTGTTGCTGCAAAAGCTGGTGAATTAGGTATCCCAATAGTTGCATATTCTCCATTAGCAAGAGGTTTATTGACAGGCCAAATCAACAGTACTGCTGACTTGCCAGAAGGTGATTTAAGATCACATTTTGATAGATTTAAAGAAGAAAACCTTGTTAAGAATCAACAAATTGTTGATTTTGTTGTCAAAGCTGCTAAAGAAAAAGATGTTACTCCAGGACAAATTGCTTTAGCATGGATTAGATATCAAAGTTTCAAGACAATTGATGGAATTAAATTCCCAAAAATTATTGATATCCCAAGTACTACTTCTGTTAAAAGAGTTGATGAAAATTTCTCAGATGTTGTTTTAACTGATGATGAATTTGAGAAAATTCAAACTTTTATCAAAGATGTTAAAGTTTCTGGTCTTAGATATAACGCCCAAGCTGAAAAATCATTATTTTTATAATCACGCTCACCCTTATGGTATCTGGCTTTTATTCAACTTTCAACTTATATAGCTGGCTATAATTTTATTAATATATAAATGTTTTTACAATAAAGTATGTAGGATTCATTAATATCCGGGAAACGTAGCTCTTTTTAATTATTATAATGACTTAATTCGGTGACACAGAAGTATAACACCAAAGGTCTCATTTTCCCATTAGTTGAAATTTTCAACATTGATCCCAGAACCTCTAGATGATGATCGACTTTCTTTAGCATATAATGCTCTATCACCTTTTGACTGTTTAGTATAGTTTCTTGAATATCAGCAATTGTCTCTTTTGTCAATTTTTCTCAGTGATTGTAGGATCGGAGCTACCAAGTGATACCACTTTATCACTTCATCATAATTTATTTACAATGATTAGTTATCATCGAAGCGGCTCAGAAGATCGCATTTTAAGTCTATTCAGTCATAATTCGAATCTATCAAATATACAGCGCTAAAATTCTAATAACTTGTAGAATTTCAAATATCTAAAGAGAATCTGTAATTTTTGAATATCGGACATTGTAGTACAGCGGCAGATTTTAGTTCAGATGTATCATGGTTTTGTGTCATACCGAAATCTTTAAAAAATTGATTCTTTTAAGATTATCAGCCCAGTATCAGTTCTATCATAAGATTCTACAAACACCTAAAAAACTGCTGGTTATAGAGTCATACTTTCAGTGTCCATTTAAGTACTTGATATTATACCATAGAAATCATAATGAAAATTGGAAACTTAAAGAAAATCAGAATTTTTGGTGCTAAAGACCACACTGCTAAAT